ATAGGCTGGGCCAACTGGATAAAAAAAGCACAAGCCATCTATACGCTGTCTCCAGGAAATACATCTGAACTTAAAGGACAAATCTAGACTCATGGTAAAGGGATGTAAAACAGTATTTCAGGCTGTTTTGTATTGTAGGTACTTGCCACATACAACAGGGCTGGTGGATTCGAACCTTGCCCAGGCCTGTTAAATGACAATAACAACAACAACAACAAAAATAAAATAGCTGGGTGTTATAGTGGACACCCACTACCATAGCTACTTGGGAGGCTCAGGCAAGAGAATCACTTAAGCCCAAGAGTTTAAAGTTGCTGTGAGCTGTGATGCCATGAAACTCTACCAAGGGCAACACAGTGAGACTCTATTTCAAAAACAAAAACAAAAAAACCCCAACCCTCCCCCCCCCAAAAAAACCCCAGTATTTCTGGCAAATGGAAATCAGAAGAAAGGAGAGGGTCAGAATCTTATTTTCAGATACTAGTGGATTGGTCACTTCACTGATATTCTGGTCAAGGGAACAATACAACAAAAGGGCATTTCAATTCTAAATGTTTATGAACCCAACTTAAATGCCCCCAGATTAATGAAACAGATATTGATTGGTCTGACCAATATAACATCCTATAATATCGTAATAGGTTGGGACTTTAACACCCCTTTGGCAGAACTGGACAGATCCTCTAAAGAGAAACTAAACCAAGATACAACAGACTTTATGACCCTAGAACAGGGCTTAATAGCCATATACAGACCACACCATCCCAAAACTAAGATATACATATTCTTCTTGTCTAGCTCTGTGGAACATACTCCAAAAATTGATCATATCCTACCATACAAATCAAACCTAAACAAAATTAAAAGAATTGAAATTATACTTTGTATCTTTTCAGACAACAAGGCAATTAAGGTAGAACTGAACTCCAACTAAAATTTCATCCCCACACAAAGGCACAGAAATTAAACAACCTTATAACTGAATAGCTGACTAACAGCTGGGTCAAGGAAGAGCTAAACGAGGAAATTGTTAAATCCTCAAACGTAACAACAACGCAGCTACAAGTTACCAAAACCTGCGGAATACTGCAAAACCAGTCCTTCCCCTAAGAGGAAATTTATCACAGTAGATGCCTATATCCAAAAAACAGAAAGGGAAGACACCAACAATCTAATAATATCTTAAAGAAATGAGAAAGGAAAAGCAATCTAATCCCAAACCTAGCCGAAGAAAAGAAATAAACAAAAAGAAATCAGAAATAAATGAAATTGAAAACAAAAGAATTCAGAAAATTAATGAAACAAAAATATTGGTTCTTCAAAAAAATTAAAATTGACAAACTTTTGGCCAGAGTAACCAGAAACAGAAAAGTAAATCTTTAGTAACCTCAATCAGACACAAAAGGGGAAATTACAACAGATAGCACAGAGATAAAAGAGATTATCTCTGAGTACTACAAGAAACTCTAAGCTCGGCACCTATAGCACAGTGGTTACAGCGTCAGCCACATACACCAAGGCTGGTGGGTTTGAAACCGGCCCGACCAGCTAAACAACAATGACAACTGCAACAAAAATATAGCTGGGTATTGTGGTGAGCACCTGTAGACCCTGCTACTTGGGAGGCTGAGGCAAGAGAATCGCTTAAGTCCAAGAGTTTGAGGTTACTGTGAGCTGTGACGCCATGGCACTCTGCCAAGGGCAACATAGTGAGACTTTGTCTCAAAGAAAAAAAGAAATTCTATACCCAGAAATTTGTCAAATTTTATCAAATTCTATCAAATCTTCAAAGAAGAGCTTGTACTTATACTCCAGAAACTATTTCAAAATATTGAGAAGGAGGGAATCTTTCCAACATGTTCTATGAAGCAAACATCATCCTGATACCAAAACCAGGAAAGGACCCAACCAAAAAGGAGAACTACAGACCAATTTCACTAGTGAATATGGACGCAAAAATACTTCGTAAAATCTTAGTCAATAGATTATAGCTATATGCTAAAAAAATTATACATCATGATCAAGTAGTCTTTACTGCAGGGATGCAAGCTAGTTTAACACATGCAAATCCATAAAAGTTAATTAACTTTTGCTTCAAGAGAAGCAAAAACAATGACCATATGATCCTCTCAATAGCTGCAAAAAAAGCATTTGATAAAATTCAGCATCCTTTTCTAACAAGAACACTTAACAATATAGGCACAGGTGGCACATTTCTTAAGCTGACTGAAGCCATCTATGACAAACCTACAGCTAATATCATACTGAATGGAGTAAAACTGAAAGATTTTCCCACTTGGAACAGGAACCATACAAGGATGTCCTCTATTGCCACTACTATTAAACATATTGCTGGAAGTTCTAGCCAACGCAATCAGACAAAAGAAGGATATAAAGGGCATCAAATGGGGGCAGAGGAGGTCACTCTTTGCTGAGGATATGATCTTATACTTAGAGAACCCCAGGGACTCAACTACAAGTCTCCTGAAAGTGGATCAACAAATACAGTAATGCTCAGGGTATAAAATCAATGTCCACAAATCACTTTTGTATATGCCAATAACAGCTAAGTGGAAAAGCTAATCAAAGATACAATTCCCTTCACAGCAGCTCCAAAGAAAATGAAAGACCTAGGAATATAAAGGACCTCTACAGAAAGAATTATAAACCCTAATAAAAAAAATGGCAGAAGACATTAACAAATGGAAGAACATACCATGCTCTTGGCTGGGAAGAATTAACAGTATTAAAATGTCTATACTACAGTCTACAAATTCTATGCAATCCCCATTAAAATATCAACATTGTACTTTAAAGAACTAGAAAAAAACCTCATATAGCCAAGGCAATTTTTACTAATAAAAGCAAAGGGAGGTGAAGGGGGGTGGGTGCCTGTAGCCAGTGGTTAGAGCGCCAGCCCCATGTAGCAGGGGTGGCGAGTTCGAACCCAGCCTAGCCTGCCAAACAAAGATAAAAGAACAAAAAAATAAAAAATTAAAGAACAAAAACAATGGGGAAAAGAATCCCTATTCAATAAATGGTGTTGGGAGACCTGGATAATCACATGTAAAAGACTGAAACTGGACCTGCATCTTTCACCACTTACAAAAACTGACTCAAGATGGATAAAAGATTTAAATTTAAGAATGAAATGATAAAAATCCTAGAAAGTATGGGAAAAACTCTTGAAAATGTTGGCCTGGGGAAAGATTTTTTGAAGATGACTTCAGTGGCAACTGTAACAACAAAAATAAACAAATGGGACTCAATCAAACTGAAAAGTTCTGTGCAGCTAAGGATGTAACAATTAAAGCAAACAGATTACCTTCAGAATGGGAAAAAATATCTACATGTTACAAATCTAACAAAAGTTTGATAACTAGGATCTATTGAGAACCCAAATTAATTAACAAAATGTACAAATAATCCAGTCTATCGCTGGACATGAGATATGAACAGATCTTTCTCTGAGGAAGAAAAACAAATGTCTAACAAACATACAAAAAAATGCTCATTGCCCCCAATCATCAGAGAAATACAAGTCAAAACCACCCTAAGATATCACCTCACCCCAGTAAGATTACCCTACATCACAAAGTCCCAAAGCTATAGATGCTGGCCAGCATATGAAGAGAGGAATACTTTTACACTGTTGGTGGGACTGCAAACTCATACAGCCTCTTTGGAAGGGAGTATGGAGAATCCTCAAAGAACTGAAATCAGACCTTCCCGCAATCCCACTACTAGACAACTACCCAGAAGAAAAAAAATCATTTTATCATAAAAGCATTAGACTGTTGCACTAGATTGTTTGTTGCAGCTCAATTTATAATCAACAAGCTGCAGAAACAACCTAAATGCCCATCAACTCTGAAAAGGATTACAAGCTGTGGTAGGTGTATACCATGGAATACTATTCAGCCACAAAAGAGAAGGTAACTCACCACGGCACCTGTAGCACAGTGGTTACAGCACCAGCCACATACACCAAGGCTGCAGGGTTCGAACCCAGCCCGCACCTGCCAAACAACAATGACAACTACAACAAAAAAGTAGCCAGGCATTGTGGTGGGTACCTGAAGTCTTAGCTACTTGGGAGGCTGAGGCAAGAGAATTGCTTAAGCCCAAGAGTTTGAGGTTGCTGTGAGCTATGACACCACGGCACTATGCTGAGGACGACACAGTGAGACTCTTTCTCAAAAAAAAAAAAAAAAAAGATGGTAACTTTACAGTTTTTGTATTAACCTGGATGGAGTTGAAACACATTCTCTTTAGTAAAGAATCACAAGAATGGAAAAACAAGTATTCAATGTACTCAATACTAACATGAAACCAGTAGATGATCTAATTCATGCCCACACAGGAGAAAAACTCAATTCAAGTTGGGGAGAAGGGTATTAAAGAATGAGGGAAGGGGCGGCTCGGTGCCTGTGGCTCAAATGGCTAAGGTGCCAGCCACATACACCTAAGGTGGCGGTTCGAATCTAGCCTGGGCCCACCAAACAACAATGATGGCTGCAACCAAAACTTAGCCAGGCATTGTGGCGGGCGCCTGTGGTCCCAGCTACTTGGGAG